GTGGAAACCCACAGGTTGAGAACCACTGCTCTAGAGGAGCAGCCCTTCTTCACACTGCTGCTTTTGGTGGCCTCTGGGACTTCCTGTCCTGATGACCTGAGCAGCATCCATGGAACATTTGAGATCACGTGAGTTTCAAATGCCATTAGGAGGTAACTTATCTGGGTTTGGGAGCATGACTTTCTTTGGAGCTAGTGGGTGGGCATTATGTGCCTCCTTATTACAGCTGAGACCATTGCCTGGTGTTACGGGTTGGGAGGCTAGTTATCTTGGACTGGTTCTAGCCCTCCATAACAGCCATGCCTTGACCACCTCCTCTGTGTCAGATCTAACATCTTTGGGGTAACATGACTGGACACACACTGAGCAGTGCTCTTTACTCGCCTTGGGCTCTGCATACTGAAGGACAGCCTTCAGTGACTTCAGAACAGCAGAAAATGGAGACCCACATCTTCCATGCACACACCCTCTCTCCTAGTGTCCCTTGTAAGATGCCATCTGACTTCAGTGCTACCTCAACACTTCCCCTCCCCCAGAGGAGTCACCCATCCCTCCCTTATCTACAGGCCAGTGTTAGCACTGACTCCACAGCTCCTCCATAATGAGCTGTTCGGTGATATCTCTCCCAACAAATTGGCAGCTCTCAGAGTTCAGGGGCTTCATTTTAGCGGCATCTGTGCCCATTTCTCCATCTTCCCTTAGACTACAGCTCAGAACTTACATTTAATAAGTGCATCCTAAGTGCCTGTTCCATAGAAATCAATGGCTGAACCTTCTAACCAGAGCAAGGGGACTCACTTGCCGAAGTGCTCACACTAGGGAGCTTTGAACAGATAGGGCAGCGAGCATCCGCAAAGAAGAGGCCTTGGGGTCATCCCCCAGGGGAGTTGCAATGAGGACATGCTACCTTCTCCAAACGCACTGGTCTCCAACAGAAGCCCTAGCCACAGAGAGCCACCTGCTGAGTGGGGTGGAGTGTTCCTCTCGCTATTTCTCACCTGCACCCACCTCAGAGGAGAAAATATTAGAGGCTGACTTCCACATAATTACATGAGCTCAGATCGTTCACTTAGCTCTGTGAAATTGGATTTAAAGGGAGAAAGGCTTAAAGGGAATCATTAAGCATAAATATCCTAGGAAAATTACCCTAAAACAATACATTTCAGTCCTGCTGGAGAAAGATCCGGCAGCTGGTACAACCCCAAGCACTTTACTGACTCAGAATGAATGGAATCGTCCTCTCCTGGAATCTGACATACCTCAGAAGTCACCCCAGGTACAGCTATTCTAGTTCTGGGCATGGTGGGTCCAGGAGCCTGAGTTCTAATCCCCAGTGGTTCTGATGCAGTGGGCAAGAAGCACAGAAGTACTGTGACCCTCTACCTCCCTGGGGTCCTCATCATGGAGGGGACAGCTCTGTGTTGATGACTTGTGCACCCAGCAACCTGGATCCTGTGGAGTGGTGTGGGAAGGCCCTCATCGTGCTGGTCTGTGGACATCTGATCAGGTAGAAATAGACGTGTGAGAGGAGGACAGAGCACCAGGCCACGTCAGGACCATTCCTGGTGGCGCTGGGACCATCTCATGTGTCAACATGACAAGGGACAGCGCTGAGTGTTTCTGTCAGTCACTGGTCTAACTATGGTTCCAGAGCCCTGTGGAAGGGATGGTTGTATGAGGCAGGGTTCTCTAGATAAGGAACCAACAGAATGTGTGTGTATGTGTTGCGAGGGAGAGATTATTGGATGGCCTTATAGGACAGTGTCGTAGTGACCTTGGTCATTGCTGTGAGAAATAGCTGATAACAGCAACTAAAAGAAGGACGAATTTATTCCGGCTCACAGTGTGAGGGTGCTGTCCATCATGACGGGTACGGCACGGTAGCAGGAGTGTGAGGCAGCTGCCTACATTGAATCTGTAGTCAGGAAGTAGAGAGGTATAAGCACTGATGTGCGGTTTGCTTTCTCCTTTCTATTCCGCTCAGGATTCCAGCCCCTGGAAGGATGCCACCCATGTTTAGAGTGGGCTCTTCCTACCCCCAATAAGCCTACACTAAGAATTCCCTCAGCCGGGCGGTGGTGGCGCATGCCTTTAATCCCAGCACTTGGGAGGCAGAGGCAGGTGGATCTCTGTGAGTTCGAGGCCAGCCTGGGCTACCAAGTGAGTTCCAGGAAAGGCACAAAGCTACACAGAGAAACCCTGTCTCGAAAAACCAAAAAAAAAAAAAAAGAATTCCCTCACAGATGGGCCCCTGAGGTCTGTTTCCATGGTGATTCTCAATCCCATTGAGTTGACAACCAAGAACAACCATCACACAGGGACTTGGCCAAATTTGACAATGGAGAAGCAGAGACCCAGGCCCCTAGCTCAGGAAATGGTATGCCCAAGTAGTCCCAACCCAGGCCCGAATGCCTGGAAGTTCCCCCAGAGAGTCACTGTCACCTGACTTACACTGAAAAGCTAAAGATGGCTGGTGGCAGCAACAGTAGGCATAAAGGGGGCTTGTAGGTACATGTACCACCTTGTTCAACTTCCTTGTCTCATCTACCAGCCCACTGACACCTGCTGCTCACATTCAGATAGGTCTTTCCCCCTAGTCACTGTGCCACACATAATCCTTTCTGGAAATGCTGCTACAGACACACAGTGCATTTCCCCAGTAGACATCTTCTTAGTCCAGTCAAGTTAATAACTGAGATCAACCATCACAGTGGTTAACAGCTGTCTTCACCGCCTGAAGAAAAGATTATCCTGGGTACTGTGGGTGGCTCATCTACTCAACAGAGTGCCTTGGAGCAGACACTAAAGTGTCTCTGAGGAAGAGAAACCCATTTAAAGCCTACAGCATCAGCTCCTACTTGGGAATCTCAGACTTGTCAGCCCCATACCACGTTAGCCAATGCATTGATTTCCATAAGTGTGAGTATGTACATATGGATGGATGGATGGATATGTGCATGTATGTGTCAATTCATTTTGTGTTACTATAAAAAAATACATGAAACTGTGTGGTTTAAGAGATTTACTTCTTACAGATCAGGGACTGGGAAGCTGCTGGCCAAAAAACCCATATATGGAGAAGAGAGGACCTTGGTGATACGTTACTTCATAGTGGAGGGCTGCAAGGCAAGAACGCCAAAACCAGTCTCATGACAATAGCTTTATTTTATTCTATCCATGATAGTGGGTCATCTCTTAAAGGTCCCACCCCTCAACACTTGCACTAGGATTAAGTTTCAACACATAAACTTTGGACAATGTATTCAAACCATGCATATACATGCAACCACACACATACGCATATAAAAACACACATGCACTATATTTTCTGTCCTCTAGGGGTCTCTGACATTACACACACACACACACACACACACACACACACACACACACACACACACACACACACTGGTTTCTCTTCAAATTCTAGAACTCTTACTGAAGGCATTCAACTCTTTTTCAAACCAAGCAATTTTTGTAGTAAAGGCTCTGGGTTTCGGGAAAGAGAAAACAAATGTTAATATGTGCCTAGAAGGGATGGCCTATGGGAACTAAAGGACAAGTGGCCCTCTTCCCATTCAAAGGCAGCAGGACATGAGTCTCAATGGCTTCTCAGCTCTGCTGAGCTGGCTGATAGCCTAGCCTAAGTCCCCAGACATCCAAGAATGGCCACCATCTACTGTAGAGATGAACCCCTATCCTTGGGCCTCAGGCAGGCTGTTCCCACATCTTTTGAAACAGGTGTATGACAGACTGTGTCTTGTGAAGATTTTCATCGAAGCTCTTTCTGGTGCTAACTTGAAACTATTCTGAGGTCCTAATTTGAACATAAAGGAGCATGTGGGATAGCCAGGGGTTTTGCCTGTTTTAGGGTAGAGCTAACTGGAATGCCTGGGCTGTTCTTGGGTATTGCTTTCTGCCCATTGTCACAAATGAAGTAGTTGACATTGAAGTCTTTTAAAAGTCATTGCTTTTAATGGAGCTGGGTGATAATTCTGTCAGTAAAGTGCTTTCCTTGCAAGCATGAGGACCTTCATTCTATCCTTCCTCTGAAGCCCACATTTATTTTTTAAAAGTCAAATATGGTGGTGCATGCATATAATCCCAGCATTAGGGAGATGGAAATAGGCAGATTCTTAGGGCTCACTCTCAGCCAGCTAGTCTCAATCAGCAAGCTGAGGCCAAAGAGAGACCTTGACTCCATAAACAAGATAAGCAGCAATTGAGAAATGACACCCAAGAATGTTTGGCCTCCATATATACAATTGCAGACACACACCCCCACACACACTTTTCCATTTCAAGTATGGTCCAAAAGAATATTTGAAATGTTACTGCCAAGGAATAAAATGTACATGGGCTTTTATTCTGATGGAGGGGGGTCACAGACTACCAACAAAAGAACGGAAGAATTTCTACAGTCTATTCAAAGCTGCCACAATGAAATATCTTAGATGGGGCAGCTTAGAAATAAATAGACATTTATTTCACAGCAGTGTAAACTCAAAACCCTGGAATCAATGAGGGCCAGTCTTCATCAATGGCACCTTCCAGCTATATCCTAACTTGGCAGAAGAGGCAGGGCACTCTCTGGGACCCCTCTAATTGTATTTATGAGGCTCTTATCTCATGACCTAATCACTCAAAAGACCCCATCTCCTAACGCCCTCACAACAGGGAAACAGGCATTGCGACCTTAGCCAAGTTGCAGAAGGAAAACAGAGAAAGTCTATTATCAGAGAGGGCCTGGGAATGAATCAGAGGTCAGGACATCTCTGAGAAACCACCATTTAGGAAGACAGCCACAGAAAGGTCTGGAGGTGAGGGAGGGAAGGAAGGAGAGAAGAAGGAGGGAAGGAGGGAGAAGAAAAAAAGAAAAGAAAGGGAGGGAGGGAACACAAGAAAAATAATAAAAGAAAACTTTGAAACAAGTGAGCAGAGGCTCGTCCCGGGCAAACCATGGAAACCAGGGTTTGTTTTGATGATGTCACAGTGGGGAAGGAGACAATATGGCAGGGTCCCTCGTTTCAGTGCCCCAACCACAGTGATTGCCTCCCAGTGCCTCCCATCTGCTCTAGAGAGAGCATGTCTAGCTAACAAAGAACACGGTGCATCAGCATCCTCTGAAGGTCAGCCACATTTTGGTTTTTGAGTAACTTCACACTAGTCTACGGCACAGGAGTGGGAAGGAGCTGTGGGACGGGTGACGGGAGTAGGGAATTCTGAGAATTTCCTCGAAAGGAGGTAGCATAGAAGGAGGAGGAGAACGCAACTGATTTTTGACCATTGCTCATCCGATCCTTCCCTTGTGGCTAGAATTGGATATGCTGGCTCCAGCTCCAGCAGCAGGCCTGTGACCACATGAGGAAAAGCGTCCTCTAAGAAGGACACATTAGAATCGGAATGTGCAGGACCCTCTGTTCCTGACTGTCCTATGGCAACACCATCTTACTCTTGGACCTCACATTGATAGAGTCTCCTGAGATGAGAAAAGTAAACTCTCTTAACAAGACACCATCCATCAGACTGTTATTGACTGCTAACGTTTTGTGCCTCCTCCACCTAGAGCGTGGCAAGCTTAACTGTCCCAGGACCACAGCTGGAAGCACTGTGTGTCCTCACAAGCCTGGCCCTGGTGCTCTTCTCTGACATGTGCTCACAGACCAATGGCGAGTGTTGCCTTCACAGCCTCCCTGCCCCCATGACATCCATGGGTAGCACAGGGCATCCATGTCCCGTGCATGTGTTCTGTGTTACTGCATCTACAAGAGGCCCAATGCTTTTCCTAGCCGGTTAGTGTCTCAGAGCCATCCCTACACTAAGAATAACCCAATGGCTTCCTAGGAGGGAGAAAATCTTGCAATAGGTCTTCTACACCATCCTTCATCCTTCATCCACAGTCATGACCAGATGGAAGGTAAAACTCACAAGAGAGAAAAATGTAGACTTCTTGTTTGTTTGGTGACACTATCTAGTGCTCAGGGGAACTAATTGAAATATAAGTGTTGCTCTGTGGTGGGTCTCAGATGTGCTTCAGAATGTCCACCACTGATGGCTTATCCAAGGGCAGCAAGGCCGGGGAGCAGAAGACAGGAGGAGGCACTTCAGGCCCAAGGCTTCTTTGATGATTAGACCTAAGATGTCTGTCATTAGACCTGCATCGTACGTGACATGACCAAGCTGTGTGCCCACAATCCTGTATGTTGGAGCCTGTGGTTATGTAAAAGAGAAATGTTTCCCATAAGCTCAGCTGATGCTATTTGGGAAGGTTAGGAGTTATGGCTATGCTAGAGAAAATACATCACCGGAGGCAGGTTTTGCAAGTAGAAGCCTCTCAACATTTCCAGTTCTTTCTCTCTCTTCTCTTTCTCCCTCCCTCTTTCCTCCTCCTCTCCCCCTCTCCCTTCCCTTCTCTCCCCCTCTCTCCTCCCTCCTCTCTCCTTCCCCCTCTCTCCTCCCTCCCCCCTCTTTGGAACTGTAGTTGAGATGTGAGCTCTCAGCTTCCTGTTCCTGCCACCTGCCATGCCTCTGCATCATGATGGACTCTTATCTCTCTGGAAGCGTAAACCAAAATAAATGTTTCCGTTTATAAACTTCCTTAGTCATGGTATTTTATCACAGCGATGGAAAAGTGGCCATTCTTGGAAACAGGGTCTTTATGAGGGTAATTAAAGCAAAGTGAAGCCATGGGAATAGATACCTGACCAGACAAAACTAGTGTCATCCAACCAAGAGAAAGGGAGCTGGGAAGGCACAAGGTCAGTAAAGCACTCGAAGAGTGAGGACCCAGGCTCAATCCCCCAGATGCCACATTTAGAAAAACAGTGCTTAGAAAGCAGACACAGACAGATCCCTGGAGCCTGCTAGCAGGGTGCCAAGAAAGCAAAGGAGGGCAGCACCTGAGGAACAGAACCAAAGGTTGCTGTCTGACCTTGTAACACACACACACACACACACACACACACACACACACACACACACGAATACACGCACATATACAAATGTACACATACACATGCATATGCATGCATGCACATACACATATATATGCATACTTGTACACACACACGTACACACACACATACAAGTAGTTGGTGGGAGGGAGAGAGAAAATGTATACTTATCTTCTCCCACCCCCTAGAAAACCATAGCTTGAAGGCATAGTCTGCCACCAGGAGGGGAAGCCTCAACAGACTCTGATCACTGACATCTTAGTTTCAAATTTCCAGGTTCAGAACTGGGAGAAAATCAGTTTGCATTGTTTAAACTGTTTGTTTCGGGTACCTGTCATTCAGCTGAGGTGACTGGTACAGCAATAAAGTGTCCCCTGAACTTGCTGAACAGTGTGAAGACAGCAGGACTGTATGGTGGAGGGGTTAGCGTGTATGGGTGTGCGTGGATGTGTATGGATGCTGTGTATGGATGACCTTGTTCCCATGCACCCCCTGAAAGCCAATAGCCAGGCAAATCCACACCTTCCATAGCTGTGGTCAGCAGACAGCTGTTTAAAATGCCGTCTGGTCTTAGGTCAGTGCTGCTGAGCCTCTCCTTTCTTGTTTACATGGTAGCAAATTTATAACTACGCTCTCACCAAAGAATCCAAAGGCCCTGTCATATTTCTATATTTTCACTGAAAACAACATAGTTCCTCATATTTTTGTAGCTATGCATGGGATGCTTAACTCCTGCTCACGCTACATCTCTACTTTCTCTCAGAATGCAAACCCCCAAAACTTCCAGCTTTGGATCTCTGAAGAAAAAGCCCATGCGTATGTGGTACCTCAGGTGTTTCTTCTCTAATAAAGTTCATATTTTAAATATCAACCAGGTGAGGCTACTAGAAAGTCATACTTGAATCAGAAAATGTGTGAGGAGGAGACTGTATTGGTCAAAGTTCTCAACGGAAGTGAACCCAGGAGGACACACACAGTGATGGTTAGTCTCAACTGTCAAGGTGATAGGATTTAGAGCCACTATGGAAACACACCCCTGAGCATGTCTGTGAGGTGACTGGTACAGCAATAAAGTGTCCCCTGAACTTACTGAACAAGTGTGAAGACAGCTGGACTGTATGGTGGAAGGGTTAGCATGTATGGGTGTGCTTGGATGTGTATGGATGCTGTGTATGGATGACCTTCTAAACAAGTTTAGCTGAAGAGGAAGACTCACCCAGAATGTGTGTGGTCCATCACATGGGCTGAGCTATGGAATGTGTGTGGTCCATCACATGGGCTGGGTTATGGAAAGTGTGTGGTCCATCACATGGGCTGAGCTATGGAAAGTGTGTGGTCCATCACATGGGCTGGGCTATGGAGTGTGTGTGGTCCTTCACATGGGCTGGGCTATGGATTAAGTCAAAAAGAGAAAGAGGACTCGGGAGATGGCTCAGTTGGTAAAGTGCTGCTTGGCAAGCATGAAGGCTGTGGGTCCTGGAGATCTGAACTCACGTGAAAAGTCAGGCCTGCCTGGTAGCCCAAATCTGGGGGATGGCGGGATAGAGACAGGTAGCTCTCTGGAGCTTACTAGCCAGCCAATTTAGCCAAATCAGTGAGCTCCAGCCACCCAGCACAGCTGGATCAGTGAGCTCCAGATTCATTGAGAGACACTGTTGTTGCAGAATATTCCTTTACACTGTGTGAAGACGTCTCATTGTGAATGCTTTAATAAAGAGCTGAGTGGCCAATAGCTAGGCAGGAAGAGGTTAGGTAGGAGTTCTGGGACAGAGAGGTCTCAGGGAAGAAGAAAGGCCGAGTCATCAGCTGGAGGCAGAGGAAGCAGGACAGGCAGGAGGAGAGGTAACAGCCATGAGCCATGTGGCAGCAGGTAGATGAACAGAAATGGGTTAATTTAAGTTATAAGAGCTAGTGGAACAAGCCTAAGCTATAAGGTGAAATTTTATAAATAACAATATGTCTCTGTGTCATTTTTTGTGAGCTGGCAACCCACAGAAATATCTGTCTACACCCTGTCTCAAGAAATAAGGTGGAGAGGGATTGAGGAAGAGGCCTGACTTTGACCCATGGCTTTCACATATATGCACACATGTGTACATGCACCTGAATACACATGCACATACCACATGAACACACATATATATATATATGGCATACATACAACACCACAATACATATGTGTGTATATACATGCGCACACACATGAGAAAGAGAGAGAGAGAGAGAGCTCTGAGTGTCACCATTCATCTCTACTTTCCAACTACGGACACTCCTCTTGCATAACTTCCCCACAATGGACTGAGCCCTCTAAGTGTGAACCAAAATAAACGCATTTTTCTGTAGGTTGTGTTTGTGGAGTATCTTGTCACGGTGATGATAAAAATATCTAACCTAGAAACAAGCATGTGGATTCACATACTATTCAGAGATTCATGCTAAGGAACTGTCTCATGTGAGTGTGGGCCCTGACAAGTCTAGAAAAGAGCACCACCAGGTTAGAAACTGGGCAGGAGCTGGGGCTGCAGTCTTCAGTAGGATTCCTACCTCTCTGGGAAATCCAATCAGGGCGCCTTCGTTCCACAGTCCAAGGCCAGGCATCCTGGATATGGCTCACGTTGACAAAATGCCTTTCCAGCAACATGCAGATGGCTGTTGGAACAATAACTGGACGCTTTGGCCTGACCGTGTCACCACATAAAAACAATTCTGATGGAGATGAAACAGAGCCCAGAATTCATTTCACACTTTCCTGTGCACTGCAATCCAGCAAAGAGGATGACTTAGAAGCTTTGAGGCTCATAAAGTAACTTGATTAATTATATCTTCCACTTCAGTTATTTTGCTTATATATGTGTATCTTGCATGTGCATGTGTTTCTACCCACTTACATCTATAAGCACACATACATGTCCATATATGACATGGTGTCAACACACATACACACATACACACACACACACAGAGAGAGAGAGAGAGAGAGAGAGAGAGAGAGAGAGAGAGAGAGAGAGAGAGAGAAGTCTGCTGCCATACTATGTTTAAATGTTCTCCAAATGTGTTCAAACAGGTATTCAAAAGCCCCATTTCTCCTCATTTCTCACCCCATCTCCAAGTTGGCTGTACTTTAAGTGAACATCTTCAATTACTGTTTCTATCAGTAATGCTTGTAGGCTTATCACACCTCCCTCGTCTCATCATCATGATGGTATTTAACACATATTTTCATTCCAAGCCGTTACATGATTACCGCAGAGGCAGGGGAGGGATCTGTTCTCTCCCTGCTCTTTGGGCGTCAGTGATTGTCCCAGATTAAAGAGAACAAGTACATGCTATTGCATATCCCGCTATGGCTAGAGCGCAGCATTAACCTGTTGTTTAATCAGTTTGGCAAATGTGATTTTATAAAACAGAGAAGAAAATCTATCCTAGTGTTTTTACAGTGGCCGTGGGTCCAAATGCTGCAGGGAAGCCCTGCTAAAAACTAGCACTGGAGATTCAAGAACTTCTAGTGTAGCCACAAGCTTGGGCTTTGTTTGTCTGCTTTTCTTTTGTTTGCAGTTGT